CATCTGTTGGATTCTGCTGTCCTCAGGGTGCTGAGCTGCCAGGTGATGTGACAGCAGATGAGCAGGCTGTAGAGCCATAGGGAATAGAAACAGGTCTCTACAGAGAGTAGAAGAGCACATTGCATGGAAGGAGGGACAGCTAGAAGCTGCATTTGAATAAGTGGTGGATAGAGACTTCTAAGATGGGGAGGAATTGAATCTTGTGAATGCTGGCAACAGAAGGCAGCTCTTTCTCTGCCTGCAGATGTGCATTTATAAGATAGGTATAGTGCCATGGTAACAGATGAGGAAGAGCAAGCTCTGTCAGAGGAGGTGTTGGAGACAGATGATCCTGAACAGTTGTTGACAGTGGGAGGAAGTAGTGGGTGATGATGGCTGAAGGCTCCTTCCTGTGGGGGATGGAGGTACCCGTCTGCAGTCTTTGCTTGATGACTTGAGAGGTTTGTCACTTGCTGGGAACTCACATGTAAGGTATTGCAGACAGTCTGCTGAGGCTCGTCTGGACCTTGGCCTGGTACCTCTTGTTGCCCAACCATGTGGGCACCCATGACATTATGAGGGATAACCTGGAGTTCATCAGGAGTATTTACAGAGAGTCGATGGTCTCCTAAATCCACACAGTGAAAGGGAAGGGCTTGGGTAGGAGCATATATGCCCTACAGGTCAACACGTGAATGTTCAGCTCGTGTCGCTTTGGCCTTAGCCTTTATGGCCTCTTGAACCTTCTATGTTAAATGAGCTTTGCTGAGCAGAAATTATGTGTTGGAGCAAGAGTGTCTTTGCCAACGGGTTTGCTAAACTTAGTGAGGAGGCTTTAAAGGAAGGGGTGTCTTGGGTTGAAAAGACAGGAGTCTGTGAAGGAAGGCAAGAGCTTCCTGTGAAATGGAAAATGTAAACCCCCTGCCTCCAAATTACCACAATTTTGAAATTAAAAGGCTCTTAGGCAAAGATATGGGAATGGGAATAACAGTTATTTACTAGGAAAAAACTTAAATTTAAAAAAATGTAATTAGGACAAACAAAACTACTGATAGAGTCAGAAACCTGACACCCTGAGGAGCCAGCGTGTTTGCAATAGTCTAGTTAAATGGTGGCTGCTCCTCCTGGAGTGGCAGATGAAATGCTGCTGAAGCAGTGATCCTGTAGAAGGGTGTACTTTTCTCTGAAGGTCTGGTGATAGAATAGATGGGCCTGGTCTTCCTCTGGGGATCTAGCGGGGAAGAAGCTGCTCCTCTGGGAATCCAGTGAAGAGGCTGCTGATGTCCCAAAAAGTGCTGATTTTATGCAGGTAGGGATGCTTGGCTCTTCCCTCTGGGTGAAGGGATGGATGTAACACAATGGGATGATGTAACTTTACCAGTCATGCAATGAGTCATTCAATGGCCCATTAACAGAAGATATCTCCCTGGAGGGAGACATTGTTCTTGGAAGGTAAGAAAGATACCTGCCCCACCTCCAACAGATGGCAAATAGAATACATGCTTATTTTACAAACCAGGATAAAGGGTTTAATTGGTTTGTAGTGACTAAGCCAAGAAGAGTAGTAGAGTCATGGGAACAATGAGTGTGTGTCTAGGGGACAGCAGCATGTCTGGGAGCCCATTTCAGATGCATTGTTCATGAGTACACATAGCATAGGAAACACAGGAATCCATGCATGACTGCAGAGCTGTGATCTCACTGGGATTAGGCAGAAATAGTTGGCATGACTAGAGTGCTGGTGTGGATGTATACCCTTGCTTGTTGTACTGATTTTGGCTGGAGTAGGGTTAATTTTCTTTACAGTGGCTTGTATGGGGCTGTGTTTTGGATTTGTGCTGAGCACAGAGTTGATAATACAGAGATGCTTTTGCAATTGCTGAACAGGGCTTACATAGAGCCAAGGCCTTTTCTAGTTTTTGTACTGACCCACTGGAGAAGAAATTTGGGTTGCATGGAAGCTTGCAAGGAGACACAGCCAGGACAGGTTGGCTAACTGACCAAAGGGATATTTCAGACCACGTGACATCATGCTCAGTATGTAAAGTTGGGGGAAAGAAAAAGGAATGAGGAGATGTTTGTGCTGGTGGCTTCCCAAGTAATTATTATGTGTGATAGAGCTTTGCTCTCCTGGAGGTGGCTGAACACCTGCCTGCCCATGAGAGGCAGTCAGTTAATTCCTTGTAAAAAGCCTAAAATGCCTGGTATTCCCAGGCAGTTTCCCATCCAAGTACTAACCAGGCCAAACCTTGATTAGTTCCTGAGATCAGACAAGATTGGTGTTCTCACATATGAGTGGTATGCTCATAGGCTTGCGGTTTTTTGCTTTTGTGTGTGGCTTTTGCTTTCCCTATTAATCTATCTTTATCTTGACCCACGAGTTCTCTATCTATTACCCTTCTGATTCTCTCCCTGATCCCTTTGGTGAGATGACTCTGCCTGTGGAAAGAGTTGAGCAGTGCTCTCCTTAACTTTGACAAGGCTTTTTACATGGTTTGCCTTATCCTTGTAGCAAGTTTGGAGGGATGTGGTTTGAACTGGTGGATGAAAAGGTGGGTAGAAAACTGTCTGGAACATGTGGCTTCGAAAGTAACAATCAACAGTACACAGCTGATCTGCTAATGATTTTTAGTGTCATCCCTCATGAATCAATACAAGGGCAAAACCTGATGACATCTTTTTAAGAGTGCAGGTGACAGAATGAAGTGCAGTCTTTGCTTAGCTGGATGGAAAGCTGATGGCAGAAAAAGACCTGGAATGATAAGTTGTCCCTCTGTGAGCAGTGTTCTAGGGCAAGGGAGGCCAAACATTCCCCAGGCTGTATGAACATGAGTCTAGCCAGCAGGCTGAGGGAAGTGCATCTTCCCCTCAATTAAGCCTTTGTGAAACTACAGCAGGAGTCCTGTGCCTGACTTTGGACTCCCCAGGATGAGAAAGTCATCGATGTCTTGGAGTGAGTCCAGCAGAGAGTGGCTAGGGAGATGAGACATGTGATGTATGAAGTGACTCTGAGAAGGCTCATTCTGCTCAGTGTTGAGAAGGCTCAGATGAGTCTTGCTGTATTCTATAGCCATGTGATGGGAGTATATAGGGAAGGCACTACCATGCTTCTCTTGGAGGTCTTCAGTGGGAAGACAAGAGGCAGCTGACACAGATTGGAGCAGGGACAAAGTTCTGAGTAGACAGTAGGAAAAATGTTTTCACCATGAGTGTGGTCAAAGGCTGGAGGCTCAGAGCAGGGGGCTCAGACAGACTGGTGAATCTCCAAGTTTACCAATCAGCCTCCAGAGGTCTCTTCCACCCTAGATTATTCTCTAATGCTGTGACCTTGACCGTTTCCTTGGAAAGTCCAGCCAAAGAGAAAGCTGCTAAATTGTTTAACCTGAAATTTTGCATGCTTTGCAATGTTTTCCTAGTTCTCTGCTGTACCTGACTGTCTGTCACATATACTTATCTAAGTAGGACTCTCTCTTAATAATTTTGGCATTATTCAGCTGTGTCTCAAAACAGCTGAATAATGACAAAACATGTTTTAAGGACTAGACTTAAATTTTGCAGTTGTGCATGTTAAACATGTATTAGTTGTCTTCTGGAGACACTATTTTTTTCATACTACTTAAATACCTTTTCACCTAGACAGGCCTAAACAGGATTTCTCTTCACTTTCTCTGTTGATTGTGTCTTACTTTCTTTCCCTTTAGAACATCTTCTGGCATATTGTGGATATATCTAATCCCAAGGAAATATGGAAATTTGCTGAAAAATTCCAAAATGAACATAAATTAAATGTGTTGGTAAGTTCATGTACTTTAATCATGTGTGTCTGTCTTGGGAGTGTATAGCCAATGAATTTGTCTGAGAGGTTACGTAGACTTGACAGTTTGGCCCACAATTATCTCCTTAATTTTCTCTAAATGTTTTTTTCAGGAGTCTCCATGGTTTCCTTGCCTTTGTCCCTTCTCAGTTAACATACATGTGCTACAAAAGAAGAGAAAAGCAATAATTTTGTAGCTGCATCTTTGGAGACACCATACATTTTCTCTTTTAGTTTTATTGCTAATAACATTGCCCCTCTTAAAGCTAGCCTTCTGAAAGGTTAAACTTTTGCAAAAAGTCCAAAGGCTAAAACAGAGCCAGGGAGAGATGGAACAGTTAATCATTGTGATTGGCATGGGGCTCAGTGCAGTTGCCCTTTTATTTACCAGTGAAAATTTGCTCAGGGGGCTGTACCACAGATGAGGCACCTGGAGCAGCTCCTTTGGTGCTTACTAGATGAGGAACATGTGATAAAAATGGGGAAATAACTTTTGAGGAGTGGCAGTGGACATGCAGGAAGGTGTGTAGGGGCAGATCTTTTTTGAGATGGGAAAGAAAAGTCTGAGCTCCTTCTGGAAGGTAAGGCAGAAAAAGAAATGTGTCAGAGACTGTGCTAGCTGCACACAGCTTGCAATCACGTTTTATTGAACAAATAAAAGCTACAGTATGTAGCTTTGTTTTGCAGTGTCAGAAAACAGCAAATTAACGTGGACTGCTCATATGTGTGGATTTTCTTTTAGGTATTTGTGTTGATTGTTTTTGTTTAAAGGAGTTGTTTTGCAGATCAACAATGCGGGATGTATGGTGAATAACAGAGAGTTAACTGAAGATGGACTTGAAAAGAACTTTGCAACAAATACTTTGGGTGAGTATTGAAAGTTTTCTTCTGGAACATACTTTTTTTGTTTACAGAAGTGTGTTTTTATAGCTGAGTTAGTAAGGTACATATTCCTGTTCGAAGTGGGATCATAGCATTGCTATGCCAGGGAAGGAACCAGGAAGGAAAAGAAGAAATATTACATCTTCTTTGAAGTGTAATTTTTTAATTTCTCAATTTTTCAGTTGTTCTGATATCAGCATCTTGATTTATCATAGCAGAAGTGGAAAATGGTAGGTTGATCCTGAAATTTGCTAGGAAACTTTGTTCTGAGGATTGCTGCTAATAATGCTCTTTGTAATAATTGTGTTTCTGGGGTTAGGATGGAGCTTGGAACACATTCAGATGTTTAAAGAGACATTCAGATGTTTGAGTGGGCTTGCACAGCCCTATTCTGTGTGACAGAGGTGCTGTGCTGTATGCAGTGCCCTGAACGCTCTTGAGCCGGTGCAATCTCCAGTCAAGGGATTGAGCAGTACTGGGCAAGTCTTGGGCACTGCACATGAAAGGGGCATTGTGTGTGAACTGTGGCTGTGAGGGTACAAGGGACAAGTGATGGGAAGCAAGTCAAGAGAGAAAGTGGAGATGTGGAAGGGCAGGGAAAATGGTGAGCCTAGTGGAAAGTTTCCCTACAGAAGCTATGGAAAAGAGGTGAGCAAACAGCCAGCCAGCAGAGAGAAGAGCTATCTGACACTGCTGCTATCTGTAAGGCTGAAAGCTGCACCTCTTGCAAAGAGACACATAGTGCTTGCATCAACCCAACAGTCCTGACACTCTTCTCCCCCTGCCTCTATACAGGGTAAGTGGATTCCTCAATAGACTCTCTTTAATATGTTCAAAAGTGATACATTAAGGAAGAACTGTGGTGCTTTGTTTCTGTTTTCCTCCTGTTCATCATTATCTGGAATAGGGATGGGGAAAACCTAGTCTGTAAAAATATGGCATTTACAGAACTAGTATAATCATTGTTGGTTTTTATTCTTAGCCTTTTTCCAGTGTTGGGTCCTTATATCGTATTTATGTTTGAAAACTAACATTTTAGTATAAATGTCTTGTGCTTCATTGTTGTTGTGCATACAGCTCATTTTTTTTCTGCAAGTCTGAATACATTAAACTGACAATTAAATCAAGTATAAAGACAGAGATTCATTTGCTTCAGACTAATCTTCTGTTAACATTCTTCTGTTTCTTATGGTCAAAAAATTCAAGAAGAGTATTATATTGCCATCAAATTTTCTTTGGCTGCATAAGTACCAGAAGTTGTATCTTGAGGGATCTATTCACCTTAAATTAGTTTTTATCCTCTTGTGGTCTTTCAGACAAAAACCCAGCAATGTGGAAAGAGAGAAGCAGAGTGAAACAAGCACAACAGTTTGAATACAAAATCATATTTTGGTTTACTTTTAGACATTGAGGATATTAAGTGCTGAGGAGCTGTTCTAGTGCATCACTTGAATTATTTTGTATCACACAAGCAGAAGCAGCAAATTCTGCTTTTCCAGCTGTAAATCAGCCTTACTAGTGTTATACGGCTGCACAGAGGAAGCTGAATTATAGTTGTAGCAAGCTAGGAAAGTGTCTCTATTAACTTGTGTGAGTGTTACTTATAGATCTCCATTATTCATTCATGTATCACTTGCTGCATGATTGTATAAGAAGTTTAAGGAGGTAAATCATCCTCTGTTGTCCAGCTTCTTCAGAGTTCAGACAAGGACTGGGTTGTTCGCTTAGATTGCTTCTCTCTAGACAAAAATAAGGATTAAATTTTGAATCTCTTAGAACAAAGTGGGACTTGGTTGAGCTGTAAAAAGCTGGCAGTGCAGCAGGAACCTCCTATGCTTGCAGGCCAGACACACATGAAGGACCAAGGCTACAAACTACCATTTTTTTCTTCAAAGTCAGGGGAGTGGGGTAATAAAGCATAACATCTGGAGCCACAGTAGGAGAAAACTGTGGAGAAAGTGTAGATGCTCTGTTATTTCCCTAAGTACTAGGTGCCTTTGGCTGTGTTTCTCTTGGAAGAAGTTAATTTGTTTCAGTAACTGTCTGTGATTATAGGTTCCCAGAGAAAAACTTGGCTAAATTAGATATAGCTGGTATATAGGTTGGCTGTAAATGTGAATGTGGTTTGAAAGAACAAACTAAATTCTCTTCTCTGCCCCAGTAATGCTAAAGCCTGAAGGGTGACATGGGCTCAAGGCCCATGTGCAGTTGTCCCTCGCTTAACTAACAAGATAGAGTAATATCAGTATTTTTTGCAGATCTTTACATGTAGGGTGTTCCTTCCATGTTGCTTTCACTTTTTTTTAATCCTACCTTGTATCTCTGGTCTAGTAAAGGAATGTGTAGGTTGTAACTATCTAAAAATGCAAGACTGAAATATAACATGCTTTAAATGCACATGTCACAGTTTTTGAATTCTGTATCTGATATCTGATATTAACATTTCTATGAGGTGTGAAGTTGCTAATTTAGGTGTCTGAAATGCTGTGGAGGTTTTAAATCTAGTCTAGGAATGTTTTTCTCTTGACTGATCTGTTAGTCCATTTTTGAGCATAATGGATGTCAGTGTTCAGTTCTAATTGATGATCTGATTTGTGAAACATACTTTATATTCTGATCTTTTTTTGGACTACATGGGACAAAAATGACTGCATAAGTCCTCTTGTATGAATATGTACAAAACACAGCTGACTGGCTAATTGAGGATGGAAACTGAAACAAGAGGTGCATAGTTCTCTCTGGTGCTGTCAGGATATGCAGATGGATGAAGTTCATAAAAATGTAAAATGCAGGTTGTGTATGATTTGTTTAATATTCAAGTTCAAACAGTAAAGTGCTTTGAGCAGGTGGTGGCATCTGCATCTGTCCTGGTGCCTGTGGTGCCTTTACAATGAGTCTGAGGCACAAATGCTGCATGGCTTGTTGTGGTTCTGTTGTTGCTGTCAAATGAAACGCCTTGCCTTTTTTCCCTGATAGAGGCTCAAGAATTGTTGTCCGATTGCTGGAGCTCAGTGAATGTAGAGAGGAAAATGGAACACTTAGACTGTAATGTGGAAGCACTGGCCAGGCACAAGTTTGAAATAGCACTTTGCTGATTGAAACACATTTTCAAATAAACCAAATTGAGTGACTCGCTTGGTGTAATGTGGGCAGATTTCCTGCAGACTTGCCAACCCCAATGGGCAGATTTTTTTTCTCTGTCCTCTACTTTGTGATGTTGTGATATTTCTTCCTATGGGCTGACCATGTACTCAGGGTTGTACCCAGCAGCTGGGCAGCAACAAGCAATCATTTTTTCTGATGAATCTTGTAAACGTCTGAGTCAAACTTTTTTAAAATTAATTTTGTTTTACTTGGTTTAGTATAACTCCCAGCAAAGCTGGGAGTTAAAGCTGGTGGTATTCAGTCATTTGGAAAAAACCTTCAGCATTTATAAGCATGTGGAGGCAAAAGCAGCATGTTCTTATTTAAGCAGTAGACATTTAGCTGAAACAATCCTTTTTCCTCTGTTTTATTGCCTGCTTCATCTTGCTTTTATTCAACATACCTTCCTGCTTGACATGGAAAAATGGCATGTATGTTACTTTTTTATTGCTACTTACCAGGCAAGGGGATGCTAAAACACACTCATAGATAAATGATACTTCCAGTATGCATCTTTTCCTCAATCTAATGTGCTCCCATGTTTTAATAATATATAGACATATACTTCCACACTGTGCAGGAAGGGTTGCAGCCATAAGATGAAGCCAAATAAGATGTTTGTCTGTCATAGTGACATGATAGCCCATCTATGGCAAACTGCCTAACCTGGGTGTATGTTTGTCAGTGTTTTCCCTACCCATGAATTTAACTGGTATTAACAGAATTTAACTGGTATTAACAGAATTTAACTGTATTTAACTGGTGTTAACAGAATCCAGTGCAGCCTGGTCTTCTGAATCACTTGGAAGTCAAACAACTTGAATATCAGCTGTCTGCTGTAAGTTCAATGCCTGATCTTTGGCAAGACAATCTCATCTGTGAAAAGGAGGCTGTGGTTCCTGTTTTCTTTCTAAAGAGCTTTGAGACTTATGGATCGGAGGTGGTATGTGAAAGGATAAGGTTGAATATAATTGCACATGCAGTAACTGTACTGAAGCCTGGTTCCCAGGAGACAGAGGAACCCTTATTGAGATGAGCTTTGTCATTTGAGGGAAATGTAAACCTATATTTTGTGTTTCATGTTCATTAGCTCTTCCCATACACTCTCAGTTATTGCTAGTGCAGTGGAATTGGCCCTTGGAGACAGCACATTGCAATCTTCATTCCTGATCTCTTACTCAGGAAGCAACTCAGGGATGTCTGTTACTGGGAACTGCATAAACTATGGGAAAAGATGATCAGGCCAATGAAGAATGGAACTTTATTTGTTGGGTGGTTTTTTTTGTTTGTTTCTATGGTTTGTTTTTACTTGTGCTCAAGAAAAGCAAGCCAATTTAACTGATTTCTACCAGATGAATGAGCCATTGAAATCTGTACAATAAAATTTTTTGGTGGTGTTGGGTGTTTTTGTTTGTTTGTTTAGTTTTTTTTTTTTGTTCCCACTTTTTTCACAGTTAACACTGTTCCTAATAATGCTGCAAAGCTCAGACAGATGAAGCACTTCACTTAGTATGGTGCTGGCTGCCTGCCCTTATCTGAATGTTAGCACGGCAAAAACCTCACCAGTAATGTGCCACTAATTGCCAAATAGAACATCAAGCAAAAACATTATGGAATCCACTAAGAGACTTGGGTCCACAGTAATTGTATCATCAATTAATTTGATGTTATAAGCAGGCAGTGGGTTTACAATGTTATTTCTGCTGAAACCATAATTTTCTTCAAAGTTGATTTATAAAGTACAGATTTTAGGATCACATTAAATCTTAAAGCAAATCAGAATATATATTTGTGTACTTTTATTTTATGTCATGTCCTATTAATTTTCAGTCTGAGCTATGTGAATCCTAAGGAGTCTTCCAGGTTCTGGCAAACTGATCTAAACCACCAGCAGTTTGGAAATCTGCATGCACAGTGTTTGTTTATATTTTCTGTTAGGGCTATCCTGTGTTTTTTTTACTTTCATGTTTCGGTACAGCAAGACTTGCAGTTTTCTGTGAGAAAGACCAGTGTCTAATACCCTGGAGACTGCTGTCCTGTGCACTAGAATAGCTTTCATTTTGTTCATGTCATGAGACCCACAGTGGAATAACTGTTTCAAGAACATGCAGAGCTACCTTTCCACAAGACCAAATAATAGTGTCTTCCATAGAGTCCCTATAGCTTCTGCATCATGTCATGGGAAAAGCAGCATAACTTTAGGAGTTTATGAGGCAGTCAGGCTGAATTTTTTAGTTTTTGGGCTTGTTTTGGGGCTTTTTTTAAAAGCCCAAACCAACTTACTATATTAATCAAATGTTTGTCTCCACACTGGTGCCTCATTTTCTACACATACATCATTAATATTTCACTCTGTGATTGTGAAACACTGAATTAGTGGTTTTCCAGGTTGGCAGAGGAGTTCACTGTATAGAGTAAAAATTTTGATTTGTTAGTTAAAGCACAGTATCAGATTACTTGACTGAATTGAGAGGATCTCAGACCAGGTGGAGCAGTTACCAGACAGGCCACAAGGGAATGCATGGTGATTCATTATTTTTGTATTTATATTTTTAAGTAAACATGAAACATATTATGTGCATGAACAAAAGTATGTTCTCATTAAATGCCATGCTCATTTTACTGGTGTGCGCATGTCTAATGCATAGACTGGCAACCCACCCTGTCTACTTTACTGTATGATAAAGTTGGTTTATGGTGTGTAATGGTGTTGCCCTATAGAAAAGTTTTAATTATAAATGATTTCCTATTATGGGAGATCAGCTCCAAGATGTAAAGCCAACAGAAGTTTTTCCAAATAAATCTAATGGTAAGAGACTGTTTCTCTTTAAAATAAATTGTACATCTATCCCAGGAGCATTTTTAACTGGAGAAAACATGGCCAGCTAGTACTGTGTTGAACTTCAAGAACAGGGCTTGTAGCTTGTCCAGTAGGTTTTGCAAGTCAACTGTTCACCTTGGCAAAGTTCAGTGAGGGCAAGATTAAATCCTTTATATGGGTGTGGTAGACTGGGCTCACCTTCTTCTGCATTCCTGTTGCTTCTGAGAAAACTCCCAAATTCATCGTGCTGGACTCCTTTGTGTCACAGCAAATACTTCTCATCAGAGGGAAATGTTGTATGCCGTTTATTTCACTGATTTTTTTCCCCTGTTACACCAGTGGGAGACAAGCATTCAGGCCATATGGACAATGTACCTTCCAGTGACAGGAAATGGTGATGCACAAATCTGGGCCCTGGCACACAGTCCTAAATGCAGGTAGTAGCAGCTGTATGTTCAGCAGATACCAAATAATTACTGCTTTCAGTGCAAGGCACAGCACTGTTGAATGTTGCCTTTTCCTTTCACGTACCTTTGTGTTAAACCATTAAAAAAACCTCAACAAGACAACTCAACCTCTACAGTTTGAAGACAGTGATAATCAAGCATTAACCACATTTGATATGCATTACCTTTTGAAACTAAGCTCTGTGGGAGGAAGTTTCTCCTTTAAAAGACAAAAATTTTTTTGCATCATGTAAATGTGTTAGAATGCTCAAATGCTTGTTTTGGAAAGGCTGATATCCAGTACATTGGTATTAATAATCTAGTATTGGCAAAAGGACATGCAGTTTGGATGTTGCCTTGATTTCCTTTCATGGGGTAGAGATGAATGTAGTTTCTTCTACCGAATCAGACTTGGTTTTCCTTGCAAAGTTTATTTTAACAAGAAAAGTTTCCTTCTGTGTCTTTTTTTTTTTTTTCTTTTTTTTTTGGGGGTGTTTTTTTTTCCCCACAAGGATGGTGGCAGGCAATGCCTTTGTTTGCTACTTCCCCTTTTACTCAGAAATTAACTTCTGTGTTAGTGCCTGCTGTGATACAGCTGTGCTGGACAAAGTACCTGCCGTGAGGTACACAACTGTGCCAGGCCCTGCACTGACCATACTGAGCATTCTCCCAAGCTGTTGGAATGTCACCATCAAACTACATGCCAGCTTTTGCACTGATAAAAATGGGGAGGTCTCAGTTAATGATGATATATTCTAACCAGCAATAACCTTGTTGATAAAGTATATCTGTTCTGCTATTACTGTTCTAAATTTCTTTTCCAGGCTTTTTTATCTGACAGACCAGCCCAGGCAAATAGGAATGTATAATATCCAAGTATTTTTGTCAAAGGAATGAGGAGTTTGTGTTCAAACACTTAAAATGGGGACAGTAGTTGGTGAAATAGTAGTGGGAGAAATTAAATGCTGCAGCCTTAATGCCTGGTGCATTATGTCTGTGTGTGTTTTCAGATACTGTTGCTTACCATAGGAAGCTATGATCAAAACTGCTTTGTGCTATCTCAAAGCAAATGAGCTAGTGGTTTTGTGGGGCAAAAAGATGGAATGCTCTGGCTTTGTGAGATTTTGCAAATTCTTAATAAACTTGGAAGATAGGAGATTTGGGCTTTTAAATTAGTTTGTGGTTCTAAATAAGCATATAAACTTCTCACAAGCTGTAGTTGCTCTAAGCAGGATTTTTGGCATTGGACATTTCTCTTACTCAGCTGGAAAACAAAACAAAACTCGGTTGTTAATGAGGCAACATTAGTGCATTCATCTTTGCAGCTCTTTAGAATTAACAAATCAACATGAAGCCCCTTAAAAGTGTAAATTAATCTGCAGGACAGTAAAATGGAGCATCGTCAGAGCTGGTGCATTGCAGCTCTGCCTTTAGGAGATGCAGCTATTTAAACAAGACATGATGTTACTTTTTTAAGAACCCACAGCCAAACAGCATTAAAACCAGGCTCTCAGCTTGTACTGAAGTGATTTTTTTTTTTGTAAATCTTTTTATCCCCCCACATCGCGGCAGCCTCCCCTGACAGTCCGCGGGAGTTCTTGTACCGATGATGTCATCGCTCAGCCTCCCCGCCACTACCAGGGAACACGACCGGGCTCTCTGGCAATTGCCTTTGCTCACATTGTCTGTGAAGACAGGCTGCATTTACTCATCTGCAAT